GCTTTCATTCAAAAACGAAATTGCGTTTACGGATCTGAATCTAATTGGATTTATGCGAACGACGTTTGATTACAAACTAATGAATCCGTATAATTAGAAGTCCTTCTTTTTTTTTTATCCGTCCATTATTTAAATATTTTTCTGAAAACACCAAATAGGTATTTTAATTACCTAACCTTTTTTTTTTTATCACGCACGATGAAAGCTTCCTTTTCATTTTTTTTTTTTTTACATCAAGCCTGTAACGACGTTCTTTTGTCGGCCCAACTCATTTCCAGCCGCTTCCAACGGCCAGCTAAGCGTTATAATATTATATACATTTACACGTTTGTGGCTTTTTTTTTCGAATAAAAAACACATTGTTTTCTTTGTGTCCAGAGGTAGGGTAAATGTTTAAAAATAACCTCGAACAACGTTACTAACAAACTTTTTATTACACAACGGCCACAAGCTATACAATAATTCTGCCGTTCCGTCAACTCGTAGTAGTAGGTAATAATAATAATAATAACTGAAACGTTTTTTTTTTTTTTTGCACTTATATACGGCATTGGGGCCGAAATAAATAAATTGTACTCGTGTGTGTGTGTGTATTTTTTTCGACACTGGGACTAGGTAGGTACATTATAAGAGGTCGGGCGGAGGTTGAAAAATGACGTGCGAAAAATAAATCCAAAGGGCCGCCGACCGTTATTGATGAGTAACTTATTTCGGTTCCCGGGAGAAACTTTTATTCCTGCAGACGATGATAAATTCAACGGACGGTGCGAGGGTTAAAATAATTTATTTTTCTTCGGCCAACGGTCGCAAAGGTCAACCGGCAATAGTTCGACCGGACTTAGCCGACCCGTACACGCTCAGGATCGTGCACAGGTTGACCGAGGATTTATAATTAACATAATATTACGTGATCATATTTTGGGTACCTATTTTACACACTTTGACGCTGAATTATCTAGCGGCGCAGAGCTAAGCATCGACCGGGTAAATATACAAGCAAGGTCAAGGCCAAGTCCCTACATATTACAAGCAAGATGTACGACATTATCGAGGCCTCGAGATACTCATTTTAGTCAACAAATGTAACGTTGATGGCAGCATTCTTAAAAAGGTGCTGTACAGCGAGGAAGCTGCAAACACCACAACAGCTGTCTCAGCTATTCTGTCACGACTAATAATAATGTTAGCTATGGAAATGTGGACACGCTAAAAATTAGTACAGTTGTCAGGAATTGCTGTTTAGCTATGTCTGATGTTTGTTTGGTGAATTTAAGTCGAAATAATTTGATTTTACCGTTCTTCGCGGTATTTTGTTGAGTATTACACAATATTTTTTTTCTCCGCTATTGGTCGCAATAACTCAAAAGCTTTTTCGACGCCATTTAACCGAATCGACCAAATTGCCAATGCCACCAAGTTCAAACCACATCGGAAAGTGTATAAAATCACGCTATTAGTACAAGTGATTTTTCAACCGCTATGACCCAGACAATAACCCAATCGATTTTAGACTTATAATAATTATTTGTCAAGTTTGTATTAAAATTTTAACACATCGTCATAGTCATAGTCGATACAACTTCAATACACTAAAATGTAAAACAAATTTTACATAAGTTTTTTTTTAAAACAGTATAATTAAAAAGTTCTCGGAAATCAAAATCCTATTACAACACTTGTTTGTAAGATCTTGAAAATAAAAAATATTTAAAATAAAAATTCTACTGAAACAGCAGTTTATTTAAAAGTTTTAATACAGCAAAAAAAAAAACGACGAGGACTTATGTATTTGCTCAGTAAACTTTTTTTTATCATATTAAACTTAAGTACTTTGTTATAATTAGTATTACTTTTTTGGTATCATGGTATTGATATTTAAAATATGTTCTAAACATTTTTTAAAACTTTTTAAACAATTCCCTTAAAAAACTGTTATATATTAAATTTGTCTTTTAGTTTAAAAATGATAATTCTAACAGATTAACTTTTAAATAAAAATTAACCTAATTTTGATTTCTAGTTTAAGGCACAGCTTAAACTGGTAGGCAAGTTTTGATTATTGTTGGTCATAAAAGATATTTACAAAACAGATTAAAAAAAAGTTTTGCTTACTGTTCTGATTTTTTAAAATCACTCATTTCAAAAGCACTTTCAGTGATATGTATTTCAAATCAACGAATTAGGCCAATGCTGTACATGATTAGTGTTCCATCTGAGATATATATTTATGATGATACCAGTTGTTTTGATTGAAGTACAGCAGAGTACAGTCGAATTGTACATGTTTTACAGTTTAATGAAAAATCTATCTTTAAGTGCTTTTTTTAATTGACGGGTTCAAATTTTGCTTTTACAATATTATAAAGTAAAATCAACATTTTTCTCGATAATTCTTTCGAAGTTATAACAATTAGTCGGTTAACTAAGCCAACCTATTGTCAGAACTCGCAGATTGTATTAAATAAAGAATAACAACTAAAACAAATCGGATAACGTATGGTACGTAGTATGAAGACCCGCATCTATGGTCAACAGCACACTCATGGCCATTTTTTTATTGAAATTTGTTAGATAGTCAATTTCATCATTTCATAAAACATCATTTTTGGTTGTAGGTTGCTTCTGGCTGCAGCTACTAATTCATAAGTGATCGTTTATTATTGAATTTTGGCAAAGAACGAAATGGCGACGGAAACAACCCGCTTGTGGAATTTCATTGGGTTTTCACTGGATCGCATACCGGCTTTAGTTGAACTTTTTATTTAGTTTAGTTTTGTTTCAAAAGCAAGTATACATATATTATATGTCTACCGTCGATCACTTCAAAGTCTTAAGTCGACGGCCTTCTATTAATCTACTTGCAGCAACCAGAAAAAATATACATTTAAATATATGTATATAGATATATATATATATCACCTTTATAATTAGTTTTTTAACGATTGACCCACTGCAGCCATTGTGGGTCATACGACGGTGTTATGCTCGGTGTTTAGTATACATCACTAAAGCTTTATTTTGCGATCACGTGATATAATGCAATTTAATATATATAGGTACATACTAAAGTTGTAAAAAAAAACTCTATCCGATTGCTTCTCTTTCACCAAACGGAATTCTCCCCGAGAAACGCGTGCCATCCACCAATAATAATAATAAAAACAATGATAATATTTTCCTTTTTTTGAAATACTAGTTTTCTGTCTTAGCTTGGTTATATATATTTTTCCCTGGAATTCAGTAATAAGAGTATATTTTAATAATAGTATGCGTTAATATACATTTTTATTTTTTTCAATCCTACGTCGTTTTCACGAGCACAGACGAGCTCTATGCATAAACATTTCCTTTACAAAGGGCATATTTATTATTATTATGTGTCGGTGCACTGTATATTAAAGTAGTCGCACCAAAATAAAAAACTTTTTTTCCGAAAACCTTACTCAATATGTTTGCAACTATATGTGCCTTTAAAAGGGAATATTAAAACGCCTTCTTCCTTTCGATAGGTTTTTTAGCATAACTAATACCTACACAGAAAATATAAAATCTCCATTGGCAACACTATATTCAAAATTATTATCACGCGTTAGCGAGGACAAGTAATTAAAATGATTGGCTGATAAGGATAAATAACGAGTACAGATTATACGTAATTTTAACAAGTCTGTTGCTCTATTTGATATTTGATTTATAGAAAATATACTATGTATTGATTATGAATACTCAACTGGTTGATAACCAAATTATGTTATACTCTATTTATGGATTATATAAATGTTATTTTTAGGTTAAATATAGTGGACAAAATTACTTAAGATATGATAGCATAGAAAACAGATAGGCGATCCAATACAGGAATCGAAAAAAGAAAGCTGCACTATGACTGCGTGTAGAAAATTCAATATCTGAGGCTCAAATATTTAATGCTATGTACTGTGCACGATTATTTTTCACTACAGCCCGACCTAACCGTAAAATCTTACCCCAAAACGTGGTCGACTTCCAACCTCGTTATTTTTCTAAAAGATGTATTTTTACGCTAAAAGTTTATATTTCAGAATGGCGCATCTCTCGAGACGTGTTTTACATGTAAAACAAATAAGTAGTGTGTTGCTCTCTAAAGAACAAAAATTGAAATCTATTAAATCCGTCAAAAAGTATACAAAAATATTGATGGAATAAAACAGGTTTTTTTACGAATATTTATCAATAAAAAAGTAATATATTGCAAAATGAATTTGTTTTTATAATAATCATTTCTACAATACAAGAGTACATAGGTAATATGATTTTTTTTTAAATACTAAATGAAACAACAGTTTTATTAGGTAAAAATTATTTTATGTGTTGAAATTTAAATTATAAGCGTTATGAGGCATTAAGTACAAAATACTTAATACCAATACGTATTTAAATACGGTCTTATCTTTGAGAAGAGCTTAACACAGCGACAGTAAGTCTGGCGTACACTGAATATATTATGAGGTGCGTTACGATGATCTCAGAGATTTGCATATAGTGTAATATTTATCGTATATTATGTAAATCTGTAAAATCATCATGATACTCCAGGTAAAATTAAAAAAAAAAGCCCTCCAGCTAATTCATGCATACCAAAAATGTGTTGGTCTTGAACAAAAGAAAAGATTTTTTTGCAAAATTTGATAAGTGAACAATCGACCCGCAAAAATATAATAATAATAATCATCCCGATGAGTTATTTTGATAATTTTCGCATATTTCATCAAATTATTATTTCGGTCCATGAAAGTTTTTAACACATTCACAACCTGATGAGCGTAATAAATTTAACAATATAAACCGCTTGGTCGACTATGCAACGGTTATTTTGAAATGGTCCATGATGATATTTCAATAATGTGTAGATGAACTTTAGTGAAATTATTCACTCGCCCGTTTCGTTCATTCCCCCCCCGCCGGAGTCATCCTTAACGTGTAATTAATATTAATTATGAACTTTGATGATGATCACTTACTTAGGTCGTGCGGGCGTGCGTTAGCGTAACGGGTTTTTTTGTATTCTTTTGTATTTTTTCTTCTTCGAAGAACGTGATCGATGACCGTGCTTGTGCTTTTAAAATGGTGTTCGGCGGTTATAAGACGTACACGTTAAGTGTACTCGAACGACGGTAACAACAACAACTCAAAGTGCACAGACAGAGGGACGTGCTTGCGACGATAGTGTTGACACCTGTACTGGCCGTGGAGGACTAAAGCTTTGCCGTCGGCCGCCGCTTTTACCCGGGCTATTTTATCCATACTTGGAGTCACGCTTGCGCGGCCCCATAATGTGCCGTGTAACCCTTGGCCCTTCTTTCCCCCCCCCCTTGGATTTTCGCTTCTTCTATTCTGTTATTATTGTGATTATTTATTTATTTATTTTTTTTTTTTTTACAAGTTACACTTCACTTCTGAATTTTTATTGCGAATATTTTTAATTGATATATATATTTTAATGGAACATTAACAATTAACAGTGTAATATAACAACGTGTATTACATGGTAAACCGACTGTACAACAAGTAAAGTTTTAAAAACACTGCATTAAAAAAAATAATAATAACAATAACAATAATAGTAGTAATAAATATCTTTATATTAAAATGTCGTCGGTAAAAAATAAGTTACCGATCTTACAGATAAAAACAACATCTAAGAATGAAGGGAAAGTCGTTCATTACGGAGTGCAAAACACTGGAATATAATATGTGAGGTATCACATGACAAAAGATCAGTATGAAGAGTACACAAAGGAGAGTTATTTAAGGAGAGGTAAAAGAAGTGACAAAAATTGAGATATTTAATTTTAAATTGTGTTTAAAATTAATATTTAATGACTTTTATATGGCAGGAACAACAATTTTTGAAAAAATTCAGGTTTTTTGAGAATTTGGAATTTGTTTAACGTTTTAATTTGTCCTTTATCATTAATTCTAGTCAAGTTATCATTATTTATTGGCAATACATATCACTGTCTAGTGGAAAATTTTTAAGGAAATTGCATTATGCTTTTATTACAGTTTCATGAAAGCTTTAACTCGTTCATAACTTTTTATGTGTTTTTATTTTTTACTTTGAAAGAGCAATTTTACAACTGCTGGCCTTCCATAATGTCGTTGGTGTACGATAAGCGAGTTACGGTGTGATTCAAATATTCAATACAATGAAACCGGCTCGATGGATAAAAAGTGATAACCAATAGTGTAAAACTAAATATTTTTTTAGCTCCAAATTGAAGCTAAAAAAAAAAATAAACCTAACGAATAATTGTAATGACTAATGGTACGACTTTGAACAGTCCAGGCTACACATAACAGATTTTACTTATAATTATAATAGTGTACGTATCCAAACATCAACCCTTTGTACGGTGACCCAATGGGCAATGCCGTTTCACGATTCGCGCCTCAATTCACACAGTGTCTTATGCCCAACGGTCTCTTACCGTTAATCAACATAATATATTTTATTAACAGTGTTGCCAAAAACAATATATTATCATGATTTACGCGAACAATTATCAATGTAAATACCTTTGGTTAGCGTTCGGGATAAACGAATTACCGAGGACTAGAATATAATATTATTGTATGATATATTATTGTTATTGTTGCTACACGACGATGTCAGTGCGGGGGCGTTGTGCACAAAATATACATTATTATATAAAAAGATAAATTATAACTTGACAATTTATAAACCGTTGAATGTGGGCCGATTTGATGACGAATGAAAAAAAAAATTGAATACTTTATGAGAAAAAACCACGTGACGTTTATTAAAATTTATCGTTTCATTCGTCGGGTATTTTTTTCACTTTCATCGATACGGTTAACGATAATTGATTATTTTCGTTTGGTAATAGCTTGCCCATTGACGTACAATAATAATTACAATTTATATAGATTATAATATTTATTTATGTACGTACATCAGTCACTGCCGTACATCTCATACACCAATCAAATGACATAATTATAGATTTTTTAAATGAACAGACTTGAATTCCTTCAATTTTCTTCTTTATTTTCGATTTTAAATTCCTTCGATAAAACATTATAATGCGGCGATAATATTATTAAAAATGTCGAAAAGCTCTAAACTTTTTTTCTTTACAACAATTCATCATACTACTGAACCGTGAGTGCGGAAATCCTCTACGTATACCTCACGTATTAATATCAAACTGAAACTGAAACCTCTGAATTTTGGGGGAAACTATAGTACATTTATATGTTTTTTTATTATTATATTTTGCAAGTACATGCAAAATATAGCTTGCGCCTGAACAGTTTGGAATACCTAACCTTACCAGCCGAAAAATGTGATAATTGTTATAGATGATTGGGAAAAAGCCACAGTAAATAGACAAAATATAATGTAAAAAATAATTTTTACATTATGTATATAAGAAATAACGAAACATATTAATCAGTATGAGAACTTTATTAAAAACTTTATGAATCTGACGTTTATATGAAAAAAGTTTTGACTTCGACCTTTCGGTTACATGAGTATATAGTTTTTTTTTATGTAAATCGAATAACTTATTCACTTGAGTTTATATTAAGACATCAAAGGAAAAGTTTAGTAAGCAAATGCATCAAGTTTTCCGGTTTTGAATAACTCATTACGAAAAATGGAAACCGTCAAATTTTATACAAATAAAGACTAAAACGCGAAATCACTTTCTATAGTGTCTACCCAACCGATTTCAATTTTTTTTCTTTTTGTTATTTAGCTTAACATCCTCTCATGGGCGCTAAAAAGTCGATGTTATATTTTTGTTATCAACAAAAATTTAATAAGTGTTTATATTTTTATTTTTTTTATAGTTTTTCTAATAAATCTAACTAATTTTCTAATAGCTGAATCGAAATTGGCCTTTTAGTCCCATCAAAAAGTAAGCATCACAAAAAATAATTGATTTTTTACAAATGTTGCCTATTCTTTGCCAATTTCGAAAAAGAAAAGGCTAACTTTTCAAGACTTTGTTGGGGGCCTTTGATGTACGATTTATGATTTATGCACTGACATAATATGAAGAAATCGGTCCAGTGCTCAAAAAGATATCTCGGGCCAACATATGAAAGTAAAACACAAACCCGTAAAACCCCCTCAGACCTTTGGGAGTGTCATGATTTTACACAAAATTGGATTTTGTTGTTGTCTAACTCGTATTTGCTAAAAATTGACATTTTCCCGCTCTCTATACAAACCACAGACACATTTCAATTAATGTTTCGTACAAAAACAAACTAGAACGAAACGCTATAGTTCGGTTACATTCACTCAAGTGACGACGTCTTATAAACACAATTTGTTTTTGTAAATGACCGTTTTAATGCAGTACCTGTATACATGCATTTTGTACAGATTGTGAAAAAATATTTCCCTTTGAAAACTTAAATAAAACAAAGTTAAAGCGGTTTTATTTATATATACGAGACTTCGTAAGGACTTCTACTGACTTGTCGTGCAGTCAAAGACGGCCGATCATTATAAAATCGGAAACTTTAAATCTTTACAATTCGCCTGAATTATTTATACACACCGCGTTGTTTGTGTACCGGTAAAAGCAGCACACGGAATAGGTATTATATTATATAGGTCAATCGCAAACTGCAAATGAAGTTATTCAAATCGGCACGTTCATTCCGCATCAAATCCAAACGGTTACACAGTGGGCAAAATGACCGATTTAGGTAGACAAAAGTCAATGTGATTAAAACACCTGTGTGATATATGTATTTTTGGTTGCTAAATTCATTTCTACCATAATTATTATTAACTAATACAATCGTTACAAAAAAAAGTTATATTTACTGAGTAAACATAAATAACAGAAAATGTGTACATACTATATACATTCAACAAGCGAAACTCCCGGTGATATGACATCACAGTTGATGTAAAAATAGACATCATAATTCATAATTATCAGGGGTCGAATGAAACAGTTAACTGTTATTAATATAAGTAAATGTTTAATTTGTGTTAATTAAGTGTTAATGTATAAAACGTAATAGAAAATGTATAGTTATTTCAAAACTGTTATTTTTATAACTTTTATTTTCTAACAAGGTTTATAAAAAATTGTATTTAACAGTTATTATAAACCATTTGCATGAATACTGTTTAATGAAAAAAGTATTATGCTTTTACTTTTTTATTGTAAATGTATATACAAATTTAATCATTAATATACATAATAGAAAACTTAAGAATAATTTTACTATACTATGTATTTAATATAAAAATATTTTAAAATAGTTTGAAAATTTTAATTTCAATAAACAGTTGAAAATAATATATCAATATAACATAATACAAATTAAAAAAAATTGGCTGAAATTTAGTCAATTACTTTTTAAACAAAATGAGTATCAGATTCATGTTGCTCACACACAGAATTGGATTAGTAAGGTCAAATTCATGAGTTTTAAGGTTCCTTGCAATTTTTCTATGTCCAAAACCCGTTTTCAAAATAGTCTACTTAAAATGTTTGCTTTATATAACTCTAAATATTCAACTTATTACACAGCCCCCTGTGTTTGGGCCTCCACTTTAAAGACTCTATTTAATCTCATTTTACGAAAAATGAGAATAAAACACTAATGGGCAAATTTATGCAAAAAAAATGGTAATATTTAAAAACTAGATTAAATTTCCTTTAAAACCACACAATGCTCATTGCGCCACTCTTCGCTCCTCTTATACTTTTTTTCTTCTAAAGTTACGAAACAAAAATAACAAGAACATTTTTTGAACATTTTCTTTAATTTTTATTCGTACTCACCTTGCTTGAAAGCATCCATATCAAAGTTTTACTCCTAAAATATAACTATTTTTAAAATAACTTCAAAATTGTTGTAGTTGTAATAATTATTACAACTGATAAGCAACAGAATTGGCGCTGATAACAATGCGAGATAACATAAATTTATTCAGCCATGTCTTAAAACCGTCACATATTAATAATTAATAATTATGAACAACTTTTCAACGGGAGCTATGCTGTTTCTGGGTCAAAGAAAACCTAACCTAACCTAACCTAGCAATAAATAGAGAACAATTCTGAGAATGACTTTTGTTTGCCTAAATCAAAGATTTTGCCCACTGTGTGCGGTTGGGGGGAAAAATACCGCACTCGAGTAGTTTAACGCGTTGAACGTGTTTTCCGTTTAAATCCATTAA